TTACTCAGTTGTTGTATGCCTGCAGTTAAATATCACCATATTCCCTATCCGCAATAAGCTACACTATAGGATACCTGTTGACGTCTTTGAGACCAGTGTTTCTTCCAGACTTTTTTCCCCTCCGGGATGGGGGGAGGGGGGGGGGGGACGACCACACACACACACACACTGTTAAAAGTATATTTTTTCTATATAAATTCCATTTCGTTACATCCCCCCCCCCCCCCAATCCGAAGAGATGCCCGGTGGCTTTTAAATGGAAAAATTGTAATTAAAGTATCATTAATTAGTATAATGATACCTTTCTCTCCATCATTAGCCGCAGAGCACTGGAAATAATTTTGTGAAAGCAGATAGTTGTATTAATTATTTGTAAGATGGATTTCAACTAATTATTCTAGCATCAGTTTTCTTAACCAGCGGTATTTTAATTATTTTTTTTTTTTACCGTCCGTTCTTTGTGGAAGCAAAGAAAAAAGCTAAACTAATATAGTTGGTTCGTTAAAACAAATTACCATTCTAACATCGCATACAGAATACTTTAACACATGAATACATCAAACATTTCACCCTGTAGTTATTCGTGAGATATACTATTAATGTTCGTAAAATGAATCACCGTACTCGGCCAGATGTTCGTTACCCGGGGCACGGTTGCCGTTGCATTATTTGTAACACAACCTAGCATTACAAAATAATGCCTGGTCTTACCGAATGGTAAGGTTGTATTTTTCCTGATAGAGAGGCGAGACAACTCACTCACGTTAGTAGAGTTAGTCATGAACCCCTTGCTTGAGGTAGCAGTGCCTTGCTATAGGTGCAGCAGCCAGAGAGAGGGGTGGTAACGTGATTGTACCTGTACGAGCTTACCTTGGTCACAATGTGACATGTTTGATCGCACTTGAGATCGGGCTTTGATAGATAATGCAAGAGGGCCGGTTTAAGCCGTTTTACGCTAAGCTCTTCATGCTTGTGGGGTTCTTTCATTTCTTTCTTCTGTTGGTCCATTGTTGCTGCGCGTCTACTGCCTCTATGTGTGCTAGTGCTATGTTGGCTAAAGTGTTGCTTCACTGGTTTCTCGATGGGTTAATTGCCGTAAAAACATTTATTACTCACTAAAATGATATCCACGGGCGATTGTTGGAGCGTACGATTGCTGACCCGAAGGTTAATTTCCCGAGGTGAAGACCGTTGAACTCCTAAATCCATGACGTATACCTGACTTCGGCACTCGCGTTGACCATGTATTATATATACCAGGTTGGAGAAACACATGACTTCAACTTGATCTCCTGTCTGTTCTGAAAGAGAACATGACTATTTATTTCACGTAAAATGCGATACCCTGTTTTTGTACATATAGTGATAGTTTTTATTTTATCAGCGTGGTGTGTAATACTGTGTAGTGTCATGTGTACTTGCAGGCAAGAAAGTCTACCGCTCCCTGGTAAAAAGTCTGAAAGAAACACCGTGTGTACTGATTGCATCAAGGTCTATCCCGTCAAATGTATTGTAACATGACGTGTGGCGCCCTCCCGGATATTGCCTGCGAGGTTTTTAATTAGATCATTGCAACACATTTCCTTCGTGACAGTTTTTTGGCAAGAAACCTGTCTCGGCTTCTGTAGCTTTGTTCTACACGTGACAACCCACGCCCTGCTTTCATTCAAACTCGCACTAGCATTTTATGTGTTATTTATCCCAACGTATGTAGGGCGTATCGTGGCGTTTCATGCTCGTGTCTCTACCGTAACCATTAACCTTATCCTATCTCTATAATAGCCTGAATTCGGACACTAACCCTAATCCTGACAATAGCTGTAATAGATTACACCATTACTATAACCCCAATAACGATACCGACCAAAAAAATTCAGTATTATACTGTAATATCCTATCAAGAACCTTTCATTTTAGGATAATTTATCTTTATCATAGCGCCGATCTGTTCGCTGATTGAGTCGTAAGTAAAGCCAAACCTGTTTAATGAACTCCACCTGTGTACCCGGCTTGTACCTGTAATTTACCGCTAGTGTGTGACGCCATTCAACACTCCCCCGTTGAGCGTAATTGTAGGAGGCGAGCACAACTCCTCTCTATACATCGGGCTTCTTGTATTGGCCATAAACTTAAAACTTTTTTAAAAATCTTTTCCCATGTTGAAGTATGTGTTTGATTATGATGTTGTCGGCACACTATTAAAGGGAGTGTGCTCTGTATTTATCAACTGGCATCGTAGTTCTCTAGGCTATTTTGTTGAGCAAAGCAGGTTTAACGTATATAGGGCGTTTGGTTTCAAATATTAAAAACATCGTTCAGGTTTTAAAAGGGAATTGATATCGTTTTTAGTCGGGGTTGGTAATGTGTCACTTCAGGTGTAGAGCTGTCGTGAATAGGTTGTAATTGTCTACTTAAATGCAGTTGAAGTGTGGCCCAGTTGACATGTCTTAAGCTGGTTGGAGAAGGAATGTCATGACATGGGCGTCTCGCGCATTGATGTGTAGGTCACGCTGACATGGCTGGTTAACACCGTCACTTTTCAAACAGAGAACTAGACCCTCAGTTAGGCCAGTACATCCCAGAGGCCATTTATCTATCAGCATATTGTCACTGTTGTGTCAAACAGAGAACTAGACCCTCAGTTAGGCCAGTACATCCCAGAGGCCATTTATCTATCAGCATATTGTCACTGTTGTGTCAGACAGAGAACTAGACCCTCAGCTAGGCCAGTACATCCCAGAGGCCATTTATCTATCAGCATATTGTCACTGTTGTGTCAAACAGAGAACTAGACCCTCAGTTAGGCCAGTACATCCCAGAGGCTATTTATCTATCAGCATATTGTCACTGTTGTGTCAAACAGAGAACTAGACCCTCAGTTAGGCCAGTACATCCCAGAGGCCATTTATCTATCAGCATATTGTCACTGTTGTGTCAGACAGAGAACTAGACCCTCAGCTAGGCCAGTACATCCCAGAGGCCATTTATCTATCAGCATATTGTCACTGTTGTGTCAAACAGAGAACTAGACCCTCAGGCCAGTACATCCCAGAGGCCATTTATCTATCAGCATATTGTCACTGTTGTGTCAAACAGAGAACTAGACCCTCAGTTAGGCCAGTACATCCCAGAGGCCATTTATCTATCAGCATATTGTCACTGTTGTGTCGAACAGAGAACCCTCTCCTCACTTAGGCCCAGTCTAAGTAGGCATAGCATATATGGCCACTACCTCTCAAGGCTATTTATCTATCAGCATATCATCTCTATTGTGTGGGCGGTAGTTGGTGGGGTCTCCGTTATGTGTGCAGTCAATTAATTTCAGGGATTTCGCTGGTCATATGTTAGGAATAAATTTTTACTACCTTAGGTAGTTTATAGATATCATTGATCATTTAAAGCCCTGATTAGTTCCAGGCTCTCAGAATATCAAAGACCATTAGTTAAATTTCTTAGTTTCTCCTATGAATGAGATATTTTTTTTTAAATTAAAAAAAAACAACTAGTGTAAGAAACTATAGTGCTCCTCACCTGTAAGACAAATCTGTTGGACTGGGGCGTCAGTGGATATATCTCATATTGAAGAAGTCTTTTAATAAACAACCACAATGTTGGTTGGGCAAGGTATTAGATATCTGGATGGCGTTGAATTTGAATTAGCATGCCAGCTGTATGGTAGCTGATGAGTATTGATGGCTATGATGACTTTGACAATGGACTTAAGTCTGTTAAGAGAATTATTTATTACAATGATTGTTGTTTTTTACATTTAATTATCAATGAGTCGATTACAGCTGGTTCTGCTGAAACTTAGTTCGGGCATGCAGGCTACCCTATGACCATATGTGTATCTTACGCCATTGTCGTAATATCAGGATAAGATACATTGATCCGCTTAGCTGTGACTGGAGCAGTATGATCAACCTGGGTAGTTTTATAATACACACCGTAGTTTGATAGTTTTAAAAGACTTAGTAATCTTTTGCTGTAGGTCACATCTAGCAATATAGCACCAAATTAAGAACATGCTGTAGTTTTTTAATTTGAACTGGTCATTTGCTGTTGTTTTTTTTTAATTTGTATTTTCACACACCTCACACCGCCATTAGTTGGTCATTTTCAGCCAGCTGTTGGTTCTTCAGTCAACAAAATTGTAAAAAAGTATGGTCAGAGATGGGAGAGGGTGGTGTTCATAGCTTCTGTCACTGAGGGAGTTTAATCCAGTGATTCCCACAGCTGATACTGAAACTAAACACTTTCATCAAGATTCACCAGATCTTTCTTAACATTTTCAGATTGCTCACCTTTTAACTATGCTGCATTACTATTACACAATTTTCTTCTTTCTCTTCTCCATCCCTTCACCTGAAAGTATGTTATATTCCTTCAAGAAATATTTCTCCCAAGAGAAAAGTTAAATTAATGAAAATTGATGTTTAGAGTGTGTTAACAATTGACTTTCCGAAGCAATGTTTTGTTTTTAATCAAAATTACTACTAAAGGAACAGCCATGTGATACGGTAGTGTAATAATTCCAGGGATTATAGAATGTGTATTAGTGGCTTTTAGTTATCTGTGAATTAATTCTATGTGCTGTTATTTCCAAATAAGTGTAAATGTTATGTGGCCTGTACTTGTATATTGGTAGACTATTATTTTCAAACTGCTATTAGGGGTTGTCATTGTAACGAAACATAAAATAATCAATTGATTCTTAAGCTGTCAGCTGTATTAAACATTTCTCATTTGATTGAACCTATTTGTTGATACTAACATAAATTATCCAGTCTCCATATCTCCAAAACATCTTTTAATTAACTACCTGCAGTACTTGACAATTTGTATTTATACAAACAGCATTTCTCTATAGGCCTAAACTTTTTTGCCACTTCTCAAATAAATGTGTTGAAGATTTGCTGCAATTTGTTTGCACCTATTGTTTGTTACATTAGCTACAAATGTCTACACAATTTTAAATGTAGATTTTATTCAATCTTCAGGGTCGCCACACCAGAACAGGACAATTGGCTGCCATTAAAGTTATGACAGTCACTGAGGTAAGTGTTTCTCTGTGTTTGTTGTGTGTTGAGATACCTTATGACCTTAAAATAAATCAACTAGATCTGTGGTCAGCTGCTCCTTATTTTATTATTTATTTAGAAAAGCTCTATATGTTTTGTCTTGAAACCTTAAAGCATCATAGAAACTCTATCAAATATAATGTGTACCTTTTGTTCACTTTTTCTAACAGTTGTTATAGTTATACATAATGAAAAGGTTTACATTTCCTTTTTAAAATATCTAGAACTGCCAGCATGCTGATAGTTGAATTTTTTGGTCTGTTTTTACATTTAATTTATGTGTACCTTATTAGATAAAACACCATAGTTTTTTTCTGTATATATATTTATTAAACAAAAATGGCCACTGTTAAAACAACCGTTTTCATTTCAGGATGAAGAAGAAGAAATAAAACTAGAGATCAATGTATTGAAAAAGGTAAAAGCAAAATTTTGTTTTTGTTAAATCTCAATTATCAAGGCACACATAAAATTTTTGATTTGGCAGAATTGTTACTTTAAAAAGGGACCAGGAATTGTTTAGTTTTGTTTTTTTTTTTCTATTGAGGGAAAAAAAATTTTGAGCTTTCCCTAACAGATGAAACAAGCCTGAATGCTGGAAGATTTTCTTTTTTAATATTTTCAGCTAACAGAAGATTACCTTGGTAAACATTCTCCCCATGGTAGCCTGGTGGGGAACAATAAGCTTGGTTTTTATTGAGGAAATGTTCCATGAGCAAACTATAGGATTTCTACTTTGAATCAGTTGCTACTTTTTTTTGTGGTATTTTAAAGCTGCAACTGATTATTGAATTTGGATAACTAAAATATTTTTTCTTAGTTTATTTGGCAATCTTGTTTGGCTCAAATAATTAATAAGCTTGGTTTTTATTGAGGAAATATTGCATGAAAAAGTGAAAATTGGTTAGTCTGTTTCAATGTACCAACATATTGATTTTATCAACAAGTTTAGGCTATATACAAGTATTTCTTAAATATGCAAAAATATAACAGTTGAATTCAATTCTCTTTTATTTTTGGGTAGCTTCTTCAACACAGTGGGTTATTTTGGTTTGAGATTTAAATATTTTTCAGCCTTTAAGTCATTAAATAGAGTAAACAAATAAACAATGTATATTAAGGAATATGTTGAGTGAAAAAACTATTGATTTGATTTTTAAAAATGTGTATTATTTTTAATTTGCTTTCCCCCTTTTATTTTGGAAATTATAATACTACAACTATAATTAATTTTGGTTAAAAAGTTAGTCTTACAGTATTTTAATGGCACTCATAAAAATGATTTAATTCTTTCACAGAATGTTTCAACTGAAGTTAATATTGGAAACTTCATTTCTTTTTTTGGTCTTTTTTCTTTCTCACCACAATGGGTTATTTGAAAACGAGTATCTAATAATTTTTCAGTTTTCCAATCATCGAAACATAGCAACCTACTATGGTGCTTTCATTAAGAAAGGGCCCCCTGGCAAAGATGACCAGCTTTGGGTAAGATAATTTAATTGATGATATTATTTTGATAAACACTGACTTTCTATAGAGAGTGAAGGCTTATTGTCTAGGTATTTGGTTGAATGTAAAATATGAAACTATATTCAGTAAAAAATATTGTATGATTAAAAAAAAACCTAGTAGACATGAAATATTTTATTAGATTAAAAAAAAAATCAGCCTCTCTTCTTACATTATTATTTTTCTGTTCAACTTAATCTCTTCTACTAGTGTTACTTCCCTTGTGTTAAGATAAAACTAATTTTCTTTTTTTCTTTTCCCTGTGGTCAGCTGGTAATGGAGTTTTGTGGTGCTGGATCAGTTACAGATCTAGTCAAAGGTTAGTCAGATATTTTCATTTCATTTGTTTGTTCTGTGTCATCTTACATTTGACTCTATTGATGTTTTATTTTGACACTTGTTTCATCTTTGCTCTGAAGCACATTATCACTGGCATAGAATTACTTACACGCTCTTGTATATTTGTTACTCTGATTACTTTTTATAGCTTACGGCTTTGTTTTTTAAGCTTTTTTGCTGTAGTTTGTGAATTCTTTCTTGTTTAACATTGTGGGTGTTTAAAGCAAGATTAGAACTTGTCTGTTAAGAATGTAGCCTTAGTTCAGTATTATGTATAGCTGATGTTGCTCCATTTAGCTTAGACTAGTCTTAGTTTTTACTTAGTTTTGAGTATAGTTTATGTTGATCTTTCACAATTGACTAGTCATAAGCTTAACATTTTGTAGTTTTATATAGCTTGTCAAAATTAGACTAGTCTTTACCTTAAACTTAATACTGTATAGTTTATGCTGCTTCATCAAAACTAGACTAGACTGTAGCTTTAACTTATACTTGAGTAGTTTATGGGGCTTTATTAAAATTAGTCTGTATCTTTAACTTAATACTGTGTAGTTAGACAAGTCTTTAGCTTTAACATAGTATTGTGTATATCTGATGTTGCTCCGTCAAACTACTATGTAGCTGTAACTAACTGTTGTGTTGCCTATATCTCACCCCATTACATTTTGTTATCAAGCTTTAGGTTCTGAGACTTTCAGAAGAGGTAAATGTTTTTTCACATCTTTTGTAAGAAGCTCCCTCTACTCTCTCCAACCTGGGGATGTTGTTTATAGCTAAAGCAATAGAATCTTTCACTTGGTGCAATGTTAAATACCAAACCTAAGCAACAGATAATTTAAATTTGTGGAATGTTAAAACCCAAAAAGATTCAATTTAAACCATAAGCAACGTAGATTTTTATCAGTTATTTACATTATTTTCTTTTAATATATTTGATAGGTGGGGCTGTCATTTTGTTGTTTTCATAAAATCATTTTTCCATTTGTTTCAATATTCTTTGTTTGGCTTATAAGAGTATTTTTGTTGTTTATTTTCTTTACTAATTCGTTTTTTAACAATTTGTTTTCTTTTTTAATTTATATATATTAAGTTAATAATTAAGTTGAACTCACAAGAAACCTAATTATACAATTAAATAATTTTTTTGCTAAATGTTTGCATAAGTATAAGACTATTATTCTTTGTTTTAATTACTCTGTTTTATATATTAAAAAATATGATTTTTAATCTTTAACTTTTAGATTCTGCCTCTTGAACTTTATATTTACATTGCAAATTTACAGTGATTATATTGATAGGTATTTTGTAAATAAACACTTGCATTGTTATTGCAGCCACTAAAGGTAATTTCCTTAAAGAAGAGTGGATAGCTTATGTATGCAGGGAAATTTTAAGGGTAAGTTTGGCTCTATGTGTGAGTTTATACATCATAAGTGTAGACCTGTGTGAATGTCAACAGTTGATTAATATTGTCAAGTTGGAAAGTTCCCATCTTTGTTTTCTCCAGGTCTAATTCTATATGATCATATTAAATACAACTAAAAGCACTAGGGGTTTTTACTATTTTAATTTAATTCTTTTGAAATTTGGAGTTGAATCGACAAATATTATTGACAAACTTTATATCCTGTTTATATAACGTGGTAATGTCTACTCAGCTTGTAGCAAGATGAAACTAAGTTATTAATGTTCCCAGGCCATTAATTCGAGTTGTATGGCAAAGATTGGAACAAAACTCATGCTGCTCTGTAATGCACCAGAGATTATTGATTAAACTTCTTTAGCATTAAATTTTAACAATTTTTTTTTATATAGTTCTGATGTGTGTTCCAGGCATTTTTATTCCTATAAAATTTTGTTGTCTTGCTGTAATCTGCATTAGGGGGTAAAGTTAAGTTACCCTAAGAGAAACATAGTTTTTTAAAAATCTAGTACTTTTGAAGCTATTTTTGTAACTTGGTTGTTTTTTTTTATTATTATTATTAAAAAATCCACTGGTAGTCTTGTTTGGTGTAGCTGATGTTCCGTTTCTAGTCGACTTAATTGGCAGTGAGAGACTGCTTTTATCCCTCTAACAAGCCTTTAGGGCAGAGTGATAGGAGAGAGTTGAATGTGTAGAAGGTTTGCTGTTGACTGCGTGGCTAAATATTTCACCTAAAAATGGTTCGGACCAGGGACTGGTTAAATTGATGTTTTAAGTAGTAGTCAGATAAATAAAGGGGAAAAGTGATTAAAAATGAAGATTTCAAATTTAGATTGGACAAAGTTGTTTGAGCAATATGTGAAATGATAGATACCTTGTAGCTTTTAAGCAATAAACTGCTCTATTAATCTTATCCTCTTGTATGTATGTACTGATGCAAGTCCTGCTATTTCAAACACATGAGCTCTCCATTAAGATTGTATTGTACTACCATACTTACATCATCATGTAAAGTAAAGCATCTCCCACAATGGGTTCAAAGTAAATTTATCGAACACTGACATATACATGTATTTATGGTTGTTATGGCAACTGACAATAGAGAAGTAGCATATTGTAGATATCTGAGCCAGAAGTTCAATGCTTTAATGGCTGTATCACTTTCAGGGCCTGGCACATCTCCATAACAACAAAGTTATTCACAGAGACATCAAAGGACAGAATGTTTTACTTACTGATAATGCTGAGGTCAAATTAGGTAAGGAAATACTTTGACTGCTGCACCTTTTTCTTCTTTACAGGTTTTACAATATTCGGTTAGCTGTTGTTTTTTGTGTGGACATTTTACACACGTATAAATTGTATGGATTTTTTGCATTTAAAAGAAAAATCACATATAATATAGTCTTTACCATTAAGCTATGTTATGTAAGGAAGTGAAATTTCCTTAACTAATATACAGACACGAGAAAAATGGCCCGTTGAGGAAGGATACAACGGGCGCTAGGCTGATAGTGCTGTCTCTTTTCTCTAAACTAAAACCACCCCACCCCCCCCCCCCACCCCCACACACACACACACACCACCCCCCCACCCCCACCCCCCCAAAAAAAAACATGTCTACCGTCCCATTCAACGAAATATAAATATAATATAATTATATACTTTTTCCAGTGCCCGCCCCCTCCCCGAAAATTCTACCCCCGCCACCGAAAATTTCAAGTACCTCCACCCCTCTCCGGGGAGGAAAAAGTCTAAACTAAAACCACCCCCACACCCCCCCCCCCCCCCCCCCCCCCCGCCACCGAAAATTTCAAGTACCCCTACCCCTCTCCGGGGAGGAAAAAGTCTAAATTAAAACCAGACGTTCTTACGCGGGGGTGGGGCTTCGCCCCTACCCGAAGAATTGTATGAAAGAAACTCTTCACGCAAACCACTTAGATTAGACCAAATTGCCTTTGTATTGAATGTTTACTCGATAATCAATGACGTCATATTAATGTGTGCACTATCCGGCTTGAGATTATTTTCTACTCTGTGCTAAATGTGTCGACGTCATACTTCGTTTTTCGAATTACTATGCATGTTTTTATTTTGCTCGTGTTTTCTCTACAGCGTTCTTGTCAGATAGATACATAGACAGACAGCGAAACTATTAGTATTAATGTATGCTAATAATAAACACATTTTTGTTTAGTGGATTTTGGAGTTAGTGCTCAACTAGACAAAACAATAGGGAGACGAAACACATTCATTGGAACACCGTATTGGTAAGTTCTGCATGTGTTGTGCTATGTTAGGGGAATAACAAGGTAAATGAAAAATGATAGGAACTGATAGTATGAAAACACGTTTAAGCAATTCTTAGACTTGCAGACAAGCATTGTAGTGCTTTTGTTCAGTAATGACCTGTATGTTGCAGGATGGCACCAGAGGTTATAGCCTGTGATGAGAATCCAGATGCCACATATGACAAGAGGGTAAACTATGCTTAGTTGTATAGAATTTTGTTTTCAAATTACACTGAAAGATGATAATTTTACATGCTGCTTTTAGCCATTTGCTCTAGCAGTTATTTTCTTTGGTCACTTAATTATGTTTGTTTTTATTTCAGAGTGACCTGTGGTCATTGGGAATTACAGCCATTGAGATGGCAGAAGGCAAACCACGTAAGTTTTTTGCTTAATATTTGTAGCTTTTTTATAGTTAATTTTAGAAAAAACCATGCTCTAGTCCAGTAGACTACCCAAAATCTATAAGACATGCCACCTATAATAGTCATATTAGAAAATATAAAAGCATCTCAAGTTTTTTTTTTGTTAATGAGTTTTTAGTTGAAATTATTTCCTGGTGTGAAGTAGAATAGTCTGTTGTGTATTTTACTTCGCCTTCCATGCTGAGTAGTCTAGAAGGCTATTCTTAATTGTAAGGCAATTGCAGTAAATGAAAAGTTATGCTTGTTTGATGTTAGTGTACATGAGTTACAACCAAAATCTCAGGAGTTAGGTTTGGGTATTTGACTTGGCAGCTGGATGTAATGGTGTATGCTTACCACACAATACCACCCATAAGAATAGTTAAGTCTAAAAATGGGATCATTTTTCTGGTGTAGTTTTCTGTAAGACTGAATTTAAAAATTCAGAGGTATATTTACAAAATGCTAAGACCAAATAGGTTTAACCTAGCTTTAAAAGATCAGCTGTAAAGTTATTGTCTCTGTACTGATGAAACTGTTTTTTTTTTAATTTACAGCATTGTGTGATATGCATCCAATGAGAGCTTTGTTTTTGATCCCAAGGAATGCCCCTCCAAGGCTGAAAAATCCAAATAAATGGTATGCAAATATCCCAGTAACACAACAGTATGTTCGAAGCTGGTCTTTATATCAATTTGTGATTTTTATTCTAATTAGTTATGAATTTATACACACTTGTGGTGGGGTTAAAATATATATATATATTTTAAAGTTCCTTTTTAAAAAAATTGTTTTCTCAGTCTTGATCAAATTCTTAGTCAGTTTTCAAAAATAATATATTGGTTAAAATTTACTTCAGGCTTAGTAACTATTTTATTAGGACTAACTAAAAAGGATTACAGTTGAAAAAAAAAAGAACTAAGTACTAAGAAAGCTGTTTAAATGTTATGGAAAATTTCTTGCATTAGTTAGAGGAAATAAAGGGAGAATCCAACCAGTTATTTGATCTTATAGTTCCCTTGTTTTCAATGGCAGATTGTAAATATGTCACACCTTGCGATAGTAAATATCAAATAATCTAGCTTATAGTTTAATATTTTATTCTAATTGCCTCCAATAATTGTTTTGTATGCGTAGTGTTCAGTGATGTTTCTTTATGCAATTTACAGGTCAAGCAAGTTTCATAATTTTGTAGAGTCATGTTTGATCAAAGATTACACACAGAGACATTCAACAGAACAATTACTTAAACACCCTTTCATCAGAGATCAACCCACAGAGAGACAGACACGCATACAACTCAAGGACCATATAGACAGACATAAGAAAAATAGAAAAGGTAAGACTTGTTTTATGTCTTCTCTAAATGAAAAAGCGGTGATTATTTTAATTGTTGTTTTGTTCAGTTGATTATTAGAAATTCTATTTTTAATATTGTTTTATTGCAGCGGAGGATAATGAAACAGAGTTTGAATATGAAGGCAGTGATAATGAGGAAGAGGATGATACAACTATGCCAGGCGAACCTAGGTAGGGTGACTTATTTTTGTGCTATATTTCTAGTATACTAATCACTAATTAAATTAAGCTTTAATCAGAACTATTTTTAATATAGTTTCTACATCTATTTATAACCTAACAATTGAATTAAAAATTCAAATTAGTTTTTTTTTCTCTTTTAGCTCAATCCTACAGATTCCAGGGGAGAGCACTCTTAAAAGAAACTTTCAACAAATCCAGGATGCCAAGCGCCAGGATCCTCGGTCCAATGCTGCTGCTGCACAACAAAGACTCAGCCAGCCTGGTCCACCTGGTCGTCCTCTTTCAGCTCAGCAGGTTGGAATAATTAGTTTACTTAAGAGGTCTCTTGATGTTATAGGGATCTGCTTAGTTGTTTCAATCTGAAGGAAAATTTGAGAGCACACAGGGAAAGTTACATCTTGGTTCATGTCTTGTGCTGTATGTGAACCTTTTTTTAAATGGCACACTTGCCAATCTGTATCGTTTTCTCATTAAAATTTATGCGTTTGACCCCCAAGTTATGATGAAATGCATGTGTTTAAACTGTTACAGATTTGTCTTTAATGTCAAATCGCAAAATGCTTAAAATCTTTTGTTTTTAAAGAGGTATTGTACTTTGGCTTTTAAAAGTTGAAACACTGAACACTAAGCATAGAGTTTATAAGTTGTAACTTAAATTTCCTGGTCTATTTTCATTTCCCAGTACATTAGTTTACATTTTGCTAATTGAAATTAGCTCCATTTTGTCTGGCACTTTTGGTTGCATTCATCTTCTGCAGCACACAAATCCACCTTCCTACGTTATAGTGGGCACGAATTGTTAGTCAAGTCCGTTGTGTAAATAAACCATGACTCTTTAAATGAGCTGCTTCTTATGTAAATGTTATTGATGCAATCTTTTGATGATAGGTACCATTTTTTAAGGCACCATATATTTTTTGCACTAGGTTGTTATAAATAATCCATTTCACACTAAGGTCTGTTAATTATTTTTTGCATTAAAATATTATTTCACAGTTGAATGAAAAGATACAATTTTAACAAGTTACAGAAGATCAATGCTTTTGTTACTGAATTAATTTTTTTGTTTTAATGATTAAAATTTCACTTACTGTGTTAATCTATTTTTTGTTTACTCCTGTTGTTCTGTTACCATAGTAACACTAATTTTTACCTTCCAACCTCAGATAGCACCACCATCACAGATTCCAGCATACCGTCCTCCACCCCAAATTGTGCCACACCCTTCCCCACCCCAGCCCCAGCCCACACAGCAACCACAACAGCCACAGAGGCCATCGTCTAGTCACTTCCAGTACAAACCTATTGGAATACCCCAGGACCACCCTGGACAAAAGCCTTCCTACCAAGTGCAACCTTCTCAAAATCCTGGTTGGTTGTATTTAGTTTTCTTTTTATTTGACTGATTTCATTTGCTAAGCAATAAACATCAAGTACTTCAGCACCTATTTACTCTTAAATTACTTGTAGGTCAAGTCCAGCTTTTTATATAAAACTTAAACAATTATTGCAGTATCTCATTTTGGGATGTCAAACACTGATATATGTTACTTTTCATACATTTCCTAAGCATTTTGTTTAATACATAAACGGTACACTGGTAGTAGAGTTAGGTAGGATTCCGGTGGTACACTTAATAATTCTTTTATTTTTAATCTTATAGGAAAATTCCCTTTCTGTACATTTTACACTTCACCCATGTCATTTTTATACTTTCTAGACTATATATGCAACAACATGGGAAATATAAAACAAAACAGATATTTCATAATGTTGGTTTTAAAAAATTGAATTAAATATAATACAAGGCAAAATTTTAAAAAAGTCATTTAAAAAGTATTATAAAATCAACTATTATAGCATACATTCAACACTTAGATGACTCTATACTAACCATATTTCTAGCATGATTACTTTTTTCTGAACTTGTTCTGACAAATCCTCTTGTTTGACAACCCAGCTTTACAATCTCGCAAGTCAGACAGTTCAAGCCCAAGCAATCAACCTATGCAACAACCGTATGGTGCCAAACCATCAGGACCATTTGGTGCACCAGTCAGTAAACCAGATGTAAGTCTCAGTTTGATCAAAATCTGACCCAGTATCAACCACAAATCATGTATATTAAACTGTTTCAATATTATTGTACTATACATTATGTAAATGCTCTATTTTACAATAAGCTATGTTGTATCATTTTCTATACTCATTCACACTATTATTGTTGTGTACCCACCCTTTTAAGGTCACAAATAAAAAGTTTTTCTAATGTAATATCTTGGGTTTGCAATAGGATCTTGACAGGCTAGCTCTACATCTAAGTAAAATGGGTGCTGAGCAAAGAGTTGCAAAAACAGTTATCCTGGATGATGGTGAAGATGACGATGATGAAGACACAGACGAGGAAGTGGACGATGAGGACGAGGATGGGTACAGAGATGGAACTCTGCCAGCCCCAGAGCCTGCCAGAGCCATGTAAGTTTGGTAGTGGTTGTCATCCAACCAACAGTTAACTTGTTTTTTGTTTTGTTTTCTTTTTATACCCAAGAATGGCAGCCAAGGATCAGATATTGGATTTTTTTCTATTCTGCTGAGGGCTAGAGTTAAGACTAGGTTTAGGTTAGTTGTACCAATAGAAGATAAAATTTTGCTTTGTCCTGCTGGTTTGCTTGTTTTGATGAAATATTTTTATAGTTGTATCCACTGACAGCTCCTGTTTTATCTGTGTATAACATTTAGGTGGCTTGGTGTAAAGTCATAGTAATTTTATTCATTTCCGAAGCTGTTGTTCAATGGTTATACTTTTAGCAATAGTCCAACTTATTTTGTCCCATGATGAAAATTGTACACGTGTGTTGATTTGCTCCTACAGAAAAAAACGAAAATGTAAAAAAAAATCCACTCAAATTGTAAAGTGAGTACTTGGACTCCTGATTTTATTTCATTTGCAGTGAAAACTTCTCTATTTCCTCCCAGCTTGCATTTACTGTTTGTATCTATCGGTGTAGATTTTTGATCTATCAAATGCTACCAACATTGATAGTGAAATCTCTCAGAGAACACATTTGTGTCACAATACTAACAATACTTCTTACTCTGGTAATAACATGTTGGTATATTTCAACTTTTTCAATATCATTTTTTTGTTTGATTTTTGAACACTAAACTTCTTTTTTTTTTCTTTTTTGCTGTGAGAGTTGGAACTTCTTATTACACAGAGACCCTAATTTTTCACTTGTGTGTGGACTAATCAGTTGTGTTGAATGCACTTTGCCATGTTTTAAGTTACATTAGCACTTTTATTACAGAAATTATTTTGATCCAATTGTTATATTTCTTAATGCCACATTTAAAACAATAGAAAAATTTCTAAACTTTCATTATTTAATCAGACTAATAAAACACAGAAATGTAGCTTTCCCACTTTTAAAATCAAAATCTGCTTTTTCCAATTTGATGAAAATATTCAGCAAATATTTTTCTGCCAATCCATTTTCTCTTTTACTTTGTCAAAATTTAAAATAAAAAGGCTAATTATTTGAACAACTATTTTATGTATGAAAGAGAAATGGGCTGTTTTAATTTTACTCAAATTAGCACTTTTGCTACATCTTTGACAAAGATGAACCAAACTTTAGACCATGTCAACACATCTACAATGTGCCAAACTAGTGACCACACAAGCTCAATTATGTTCTGTCTCAGTTCTACTCGCCCTATTATTTTAATAGATATTTTTATGTAGTATTTTGTAGTTGATTAAAATCCTACATCTTCTAATGTTTAAAACCTGGAACTACTGTGAATATGTTGAGAAAACTAGCTAGCCCTCTTCTCCCCCACCTCAACCCAAAAACCCCCAACCCCGCTGCATCTAAATCTATAATGGGCCACGTTCGCACATCTCTCTCTCTCTCTCTCTCTCTCTCTGTCCGCAAAAAATTTTCGCCGGACATCACGTCAGAAACGGCAGCGATATATGGAGAACTTTATACGGACTTTTGTTGAAAATAATATGTTAGATGTTTTAAATGTATAACCACAATTTTATTTAAAGAAGAAAAATATAAAATAAAGGCGTATTCGAATATAGAGAAACAGTATTATTTATGCAACCGGAAAAGCATTAATAGATGTGTAAAAGAACGCATAAAACTGTGACGACACTATTGCTTACTAATGACGTCATCTGCCGATTTAGATCTAGATTTAGATCTACGTACACTATGAAATGTATACAATTTTTCCGGCCTAAACTCATAACATTTATTTATACAAAATCTTTGTTTGGAACTGGCTAATTTGGGATAAAAAAATTAATTTGAAAGAATAGGCATCTTCGCGTAAGTTAAGATTTTAAAATACGTCTTTCATTCTCTTTATTTTATAAGGTGCCTAAATAGCGGAGATGTTAGTGTACTATAAACCACGCAGGTGGTGCGGGTTCGAGACCCACCAAGTCAACTTGGTTAATGTATTTTTTTTTTATTTTGCTCGGACTAAACTTAAAAAAAAAAATTCAATTAGGATTCTAGATCTAGATCTAGATTGTCGGGTGTCCGATAAGGCACTTCCCGGCGCCGCAGGCGCTTCAAATTTGACATGATCTTGCCTTGGGGCGACAGAGCACGGGGGCCGGTTGGCCGAAAAGTCTACGATGAGGGGGTCAAAACTGACCTCGACTGACCGGTACCTTATATGAGCTATAAATCGAAAAAAAATGTCCACGGAGGAACCTCTTCATAACTCTTGAGGTCGTAGACCGACCCTCGGGCGAATTAATTAAGCATTCAAATTCTCAATGTTTTCGAAAGCCTAAGCGAAGCTGGGCAGCATGCCTAGTGTATTATAAAATGTAAGTGGGCAATCACATTAGCACAACAGCACTATTGTCTTTGTTTTCAGATCTTAGGGAGATATTGATCTGTTTAAGTTGTATTTTTTAAATCCGTGGATATGAACAGTGTGTTTGTCCTGGTCTATAAATTACCAGGTTATAATCTTTTTAATGTTTTATTATTTCCAGGCCTCCCAGGAATGTGAGTAAAAACCCAATAGAAGCTATGGTCTCCATGAGTGTTCGTGACAGCCTGCGTGATGGTAAGTTTTCCTGTTTCATAGAAATGTTGGGGTCTAATATTGATGTTAAATTCTGTTGAAATCTATAATAATAGTTTCGCTGTCTGTCTGTGTATCTGACAAGAACGCTCTGACAAGAACGCTCTAGAGAAAACATAAAAAAAATTCAATCTGACAAGAACGCTCTAGAGAAAACATAAAAAAAATTCAATCTGACAAGAACGCTCTAGAGAAAACATAAAAAAAATTCAATCTGACAAGAACGCTCTAGAGAAAACACAAGCAATTTAAAAACATGCATAGTATTTCGAAAGACGAAGTATGACGTCGACACATTTAGCATGTAGTTGAAAATAATCTCAAGGCGGAAAGTGCACACAGTAATATAATGACGTCATTGATTATCGTGTAAACATTGAATACAAAGGAAATGTTGTCTAATCTAAATGGTTTGCGTGAAGAGTTTCTTGCATACAATTCTTCGGGTAGGGGCGAAGCCCCACCCCACGCGTAAGAACGTCTGAGCCCCCCCCCCCCCCTCCCCAACTCAAAAGAAATTTCTTCATCGATACTCTATAATAAAATTACCGCCTAATTAATGTGTCTAATCTAAAAAGTGGTTTTCTTGCAATGGGACGGTAGACATGTTTTTTTTTTGGGGGGGGGGGGGGTGGTGTGTGGGGGTGGGGGGGGGTTGGTTTCAGTGTTTCTTTCAGACTTTTTCCTCCCCGGAGAGGGGTGGGGGTACTTGAAATTTTCGGGGGCGGGGGTAGAATTTTCTGGGAGGGGGCGGACACTGGAAAAAGTATATAATTATATTTCGTTGAATGGGACGGTAGACATGTTTTTTTTGGGGGTGGGGGTGGTGGAGGGGTGGGGGGGGGGGGTGGTGGTGTGGGGGGGGGGGGGTGGGGGGTGGTGTGTGGGGGGGGGGGGTGGGGGGGTGGTGTGTGGGGGGGGGGTGGTGTGTGGGGGCAGGGTTGGTTTCAGTGTTTCTTTCAGACTTTTTCCTCCCCGGAGAGGGGTGGGGGTACTTGAAATTTTCGGGGGCGGGGGTAGAATTTTCTGGGAGGGTACGGACACTGGAAAAAGTATATAATTATATTTCGTTGAATGGGACGGTAGACATGTTTTTTTTTGGGGGGGTGGGGGGTGGGGGGGGGCGGTGTGTGGAGGGGGTGGTGTGTGGGGGTGAGGGGTGGGGGTGGTGTGTGGTGGGGGGTGGGGGTGGTGTGTGGGGAGGGGGTGGTGTGTGGGGGGGTGGGTTGGTTTTAGTTTAGAGAAAAGAGACAGCACTATCAGCCTAGCGCCCGTTGTTCCCTTCCTCAACGGGCCATTTTTCTCGTACAATAGAGAATCATAGAAACGTTTGGGAATAGAGATATAGTAGTAATGGGAAATATAGATGCAGTAGTGGGGAATCAGAGATAGGAAATAGTGTGAAATCAGATAGGAGGTACTTAGGGATTAGAAACCAGATACAGTTGGAAATTAGAATTGATATATCGGGGAGTCAAAAATGGGGCACTGGAAAATTGGAGATGAAGTATGGAATTAAAGATGATATACATAGTACAGTGGGGAATTAGAGTTGAGATTCAAAGGGATATTAGGTTCTGTTTATAGAAAATGTGTAAACCACCTTTTGAAAGTAGTGAATTTTTTTTTTGCAATAGCTAGATATAATAATAACTAATTCCATTTAAGTGGTGTTAGTATTTCAACGAATTTATTTTTAAAAATCTACTTGTAAAAATTTACATCAATTTTCCCCCTAATTTTTGTTTTCATTCAATATGTTAACTGTTCTTTTAATTTTTTAAACACTTTGACAACATTTCATGGAGATCTTGATCTATTTTAGAATATTATCAGACATGCACTTGGATTTCATTAAAGTCTCTCATCCTGTTTCCAAATAATCTTGCCTTAATAAACTGAAACTTTTTTCTTGTAAAATATTTATTAACCTTAAACACCAGTGTCAATTGGAACTTTTAGTTGAGGGTTCAAGTTGTTGGAAATTTTTTCTCTTAATTATGTTCTTATTCAGTATTTTATCACTATTATAGACTCTCAAGAAACAGAACTTATGAAAGTTGATGATGATGGGGAGGGAACTCTAGTCGCCAGAAGGGTGAGTTAAATTTGTTAATTCCCTTGATTCTGCATTCACCTTAAAAAAATTTTTATCGCTTTCCTTGTGACATGCTCACTAGAAGTTAATGAAATATATTTGGGACTAATTGCCTAGCAGTTCTGTTTTTCTACAAGTATTATGTGTTCCTAATAAAAACAAAGCAAAATATATCCTTATTCCATCAGAAGTTCATAATTTAAAGTGTTAGTCAAATTCCAACAGATAAGCTGTAACATGATTAATTGCTCATAAAATGTATCTTATAGGGTTATAAATTACCTTTTAGAATTGAATAATTATATACCAGAATTTATCTTTGATAACCAGCAGCGATTAGATGAGGAATATTTAGTTCAATATATTTTTCATTTCCAATCCACTCAAATTTTAGTTAGTAAAATGTTTTTTCAAATTGTCAGCTGGACAAATTAGACACTATTTTTTTTAATGTTACTTTGGCATATATCCAAATGCACCTTATTTTTTCAAAGAGTTTTTCTACATGTTCTAAAAATACTCTAAACCAATGTGTGTATAATTACATGCACCACACCTCAATTTTAGATATACATATACTTGCATCTCTAATAAAAGTAATTATGTGATGTAATTTGTGTCATTTTCTTCTTTCTCAGTTTCTATTTTTTAGATCTATAAAAACTTTATTAGAGATAATAATAATTTCTTTCATAAACAACTAAATATAGCTGGTGTTATTCTACATTTGACATAAGGTAGTTGTGTGGTAATGAGATGTATGATTGAACAGTGTGATGCCTGCCTTATCCCTCCTTGTATTTACAAATGTTGAATGTTTATATCCTGTCACAGTGTGTGTGTACCAGCATGTGGCCCAGTTGCTTCCCCTGGTCTGGTTTAGATATTTGATAGCTCTGTGTGTTTGCCACCTGGCTAGCCACCCCATCTGGTGCTGTGGGCTGCTTTAGGGCTACCACATCTGGTGCTGTGTGCTGCTTTAGGGCTACCACATCTGGTGCTTTAGGGCTACCCCATCTGGTGCTGTGGGCTGCTTTAGGGCTACCACATCTGGTGCTTTAGGGCTACCACATCTGGTGCTGTGGGCTGCTTTAGGGCTACCACATCTGGGGCTGGGTGGTATTTTAGGGCTACCACATCTGCTGCTTTAGGGCTACCCCATCTGGTGCTGTGGGCTGCTTTAGGGCTACCACATCTAGTGCTGTGGGCTGCTTTAAGGCTACCACATCTGCTACTTTAGGGCTACCACATCTGGTGCTAGGTGGTGCATTAAGGCTATTAAATTTGGTGCTGGGTACTTTAGAGCTACCACATCTGGTGCTGGGGGGTGCTTAAGGGTTAGCATTGTGAACCCATGTGGGATTTGTTGGTTTTTTGTTGGATGGCCAATTTGGGCCACTATATGTGTTGCAGGATGGCCCTTTAGAAATACCACTCATGTTATTTTGCTGGGACATTGAGCTGCATGTGTTAGGCTGATCTATTAGTTCCCTAGAACTGTCCTTTTACAGCTATAGCCTATAATAGCAAGGAGCTGATTTTACTTTTATTACTGCTACAGCTATAGCCAGGAGCTGTTTTATTATTGCTACAGTTATAGCCTGGGGCTGTTTTATTATTGCCACAGCTATAGCCAGGAGCTGTTTTATTATTGCTACAGCTATAGCCAGGAGCTGTTTTATTATTGCTACAGCTATAGACAGGAGCTGTTTTATTATTGCTACAGTTATAGCCAGGAGCTGTTTTATCACTGCTACAACTATAGACAGGAGCTGTTTTATTATTGCTACAGTTATAGCCAGGAGCTGTTTTATCACTGCTACAACTATAGCCAGGAGCTGTTTTATTATTGCTACAGTTATAGCCAGGAGCTGTTTTATTATTGCTACAGTTATAGCCAGGAGCTGTTTTATCACTGCTACAACTATAGCCAGGAGCTGTTTTATTACTGCTAGCGCTATCCACCTCGCTGAATATTTGAACACTAAAAACTTGACCTTTATTTTCGGAAGCTTTGAGGGGGATTTGCATAGTCAGCTTGATTAACTATTTTGTGCCTTCCCCAACGATGTGCAGATTTTATACCTCGTATTGATTTATCTCTTTTAGCAACTATTTTAAATTTTGCTCGTACTCTTTACCCTTTTATTCTGAGCCGTACTTAATGTCCACTTGTCATATAGAATCTAGTGTCTATTATTTGTTTCAGCTTTCTGTATAGTTTTATGAATGCGATTCTTGTTAGACTTAAAGCTATAGTGACATTTAGAACAACGGTAAAAACTCATTCGAGACCTAGTTAACATGACCTGGGGTGACCATGTTCTGAAACCTACGACTTGCAACAGTTGTAAGACAAAATACACTAACCCGTGTTTTGATATTGCCATTGTTGCAGACGGTGAGCTGTACCAAACACCTCACTACAGTGGCCAGCGACCCAGCTATCCCCCAGTCTTCCCCTCCCCACATCCGATTCTACTCACCGCTGCGGTAGCAGGTTACCCCTCACACCACGCATCATTGCAGACTCCCGTCCTCCAGTAAACCAATTCGTATAGCACTTGTTTCTTGTGTTGAGTGACTGGTGACAAGGCTTGCGGTCTGTTCATGTCTCCATGGCATGCACGTCTAAACACTATTAGATCGAGTTTTCGTCATCTGCAAGCTAGTCGCGCCTAAACACAATTAGTTTTCTGTATCTTAGAGTGAGTATCACCCAAACACAACCAGTGTAATGCACAGCTCGACATGGACATGTTTTCTATACCCCGTTGTTAGGTGAAGTTTTTCTCTATATCACAAAGCTATTACACTACCGGTTTTTTATGTATTGTAAAGATTGTGTTGTGGGTAGATCCTCATGATTTATTTTGCTGGGTTTTTAATGTTTGACAGTTACCTCATATAGCAGAGCATTGCTGAGATACTGCCATGGTTTTTGTCAGTTGAAGGTTATGTACTCTTGTAATATTTAGTAAGACTAGGGCTGTCTTAAGTGACCATACGGTTGCGTATCCTTAGGTGTGAAAGTTTGATCGAGGTCATCTAATGTGTGTGTTGCTGTAACATTGGTCACTGACATGCACTGCTAAATGTTGAGTTTTATTGATAGCTTACTCACCCATCTGGCTCCCCCTTTTTTTAGTGTGGGACTTGACCCTGTTCCCTTATCGCTACTCGGTGATAAGGGACAAATAATACGAGCATTAAACGAGGGCATAGTATTGTGCACGTGTACTCAACAAGCTCTAGTTTTACCGTGGTGACGTGAGTTCGATCAGTAGGTCAAGGTGAACAATTTATGCTCCGGTGTTATTATTAGTTGAGGGGGGGGGGTTGTGGGGATAGAGGCACGTGCATTCGTAATTTTTAACTTTAAGAATTGGGTTAAAATACTCACTCTTTTATCGCTGTGTGTAAATGTATTTCCTGCTCTCTACCGCAATGTTAATATTTGTTCAATTTTGACAGAAGGATAAAAACACAAATAGGATTACCATATAATTAAAACAGACTCGGTCTTAGCTTACAAAATGGACGGCAAAAAAAAAAATTGTAAAAAAAAAAAAAATGATGTTCTGCACGTGTCAAAGTTTCCTACCTTTTATCGGCCTTGTAGAAAAATATCTCTAAAATCTTTTTCCAGTTACGTTTTTTAAACTTAAAAACTAAACAAAACAGCCACCATCCGCGCGAGGGTTTGAATATAATTCGAAACAAAACAAACGAATACGTATTGATTTTAAATAATGAAGTAATTTTTATATGCACTATTTTTTCATACGTGCTTTAGGGTTCATTTTGAAAGTTTTTGGTTTTTTAAAAATATGTTGCTGTCGTCATTTCTGAATTTAAAACCAAGCTTGATTGAATTTTAGGATGTTGATAGTTTTTAACCACAGAGTGGGTTGGCTTTGATGGCGTGTGAAAGTAGGGGTTAGTACCACGCCACGGGGGTCTCTTTAAGTCCTCCTTCTGGGGAAGCGATCACGTGACCTCTGGCAGACTCATCAAACACCGCGCCACTCATCTTCTTATCAACTACTTGAATTAGTCAAGGTAATTAATGCGGCTTGATGGCCGTTTAACGAGATGTGGCCCCGGCACTTGGGCTGAGGAGGTCTTGCCGTCCGTCCTTGGCCACTTGCTGGGCATGGCCATAACTTCCCAATTAGCCAGCAATTCGGTGCTTCTCACTTGTTATTTTTTTTTTAAGTGGCGAGTCACTGACAACTTGCTTATACTTTTCTTGACAAGTGACACTAGCTTATGGCAGCGCTTGTGTGTTGCGTGTGAACCTCTTATGTCCGGGCTAATCACAATCATGGGAACTAGCAACCGTCCCCGTCTGTTGTGTCGGGACTTGTAATTAAGCCTAATTGTTGTTTGTACCACGCAAAATAAAAGGCCAAGGTAAAAAACACGGGCATCGGACAGATCGATGGGAGAAATCAATCGGCTGCGGAATGTGGGTCAGTGCTGGCGAAATCGTTACCTGCTCGCTGTTCTTTCACAATCCCCCACGTGACATTTATTCACTTATCGCTGCTGTGTAAGTTTATACACATTCATTAATTAACATTTCTCTTATCGCGCAGGTTGCTGTTGCGTGAAGTAAATACAGAATCGCTTTATCCAACTGTTTAAAACGTTCCAACTTTAACAAAAGGGAAAATACATCACAGTGTATGCAAAACGGGAGATAACCAGCCTCAAAATTGTGTAAACTATGAAGTCAGCAATTATGAAATGAACACCTGACAATATCCCCCCCCCCCCCCTCCCCACTCCTCCCCATCTAGCCACTCTATTGGCCACGCGTTGCTCGGTGCATCGTTCACCACCCCTTGCTTATCTCAGGTGCATTATATAACACGGCTAATAAAAACCTCTAATTAGCCACTCTTTTTATTTTATTTTATTTTTTAAGACGCTATTTTTATCTGAACAACCGTTAATTAATCATCCACCTCACTTAATCATGCCTCTACTTGCAA